CACTTAGCACTGTCCAGGACGTGGGGACACCAAGAACAGCGAAACCAGAAGGTAAAATTGTCAGGGTACGTGAAGATGTTCATGTAAATACATCAGCAAACTCCAAAGAAGAATCTAGAGGTGTTGGAGACATTTCGACAAGTAAAGAAGCAAAGGTATAGAAAGTTAATCCAACAAACTTGGAAACTACATATATCAATGCCACGAACTCTTCTGTTGGAGCTGCGAAAGCCGTTACACCAAAGAAAAATCAAAGGATAGAAAGAGAATCATAGGTAGATAATCAAAAGTTTTGAGTATGGAAATTTGCAGTATCTCCAAGTCAAGTAGTTGTAAATTTTACACGAAAGGATTCTTGTACAGCTTTTTGAGTTTTGAGTCTCTTGTTTTGATTTACACACCTTTCGAGCGTCTTGTCTTGTTTCTTCCATTTTCTTCTTCCACTCGAAGAACAGATTGCTTCTGTGCACATATGTATGTTCACAACATCTTTTATCTGCTAAATCACAAGTTACATATTGTTACATGTGTCAATAATATTTTTAAAACAAATTTAAAAATCTAAAAAATCAGAAATTTCGGATACTCAGCACCGTAATTAAGTTTTCATTTTTAAAGAAAATAAAAATAAAACCGTGATTTCTATCTTTCTAACTAGCAAGTAGTAGTTATAATCCACTTTTCCTTGATCTACATTCCATTATCTTCATGAGGTTTACGTTTAAGCATTTTTCAATTTACAAGTTTAGTTTAAAAAAAAAATATATTTCCTACCAAATAAATTGTACCTTAAAATGAAGCGCAGATGCAAATTCCTTATTCTTGGGATTCTCATAACAAATGGAGAGTAGCTCTCCAACCTCGAATTCATCAGGTGGCATTTCAGATCCATTACTCTCCTCTTCTACAACATCATTATCGTCATCTTCTGAATCGCTATCAGATTCTAGTGGCTCGGTCGTGGAGATGAGTCCAAACTTTTGACATAGCCTCCTCCACTCCTTCAACAAAATCAGAAAATCTTCTGCAGTTTCATTTCTCACCTAAAAAGTGCACAAAATTTATGATTAGATGTATGGATATTTAAATAAAATGATTCCAAAAGATATAACAAAATCACAACTGAAGACATACCTCGGTTTCAGGGTGATTGAGTTCCAAACTGCTACAAGCAGATTTATTGATATCTACTGCCATTTCTGCAAAAAAGGGAAAGTGAAGTAAACATGTTTAATGTTGAAGTAAATAAAATTATCATGATAAACATTATATAGCACAAGTTTTCGTGGCAAGTGAAACTTAGAGTTGTCAATTGAACACCTGAAATTGAGGCTCCCATAATCAACCCTGTGGACATGGCTCCGCAACCGGAGTAACATTATTCTTTGCAACCGTCAATTCCACATTATATTTAACTTAGAACTAAAAAAATGATCAATCAATCATTCATTTTTATTTTCTTATCTTCAACATCTTTTCGAGTCAATTTTTTTTCCCTTTCTCCTATATTTTCCAACACACTACTCTCGAAGATTATTCAAATAACGTCGGAGCTGTCATATAATGTCAATCACTACTGCATCTCTTTCAATGCTCAAGTTTGATCCAAGAGTCACCGGCTGCACTTCTTCAATCTTAACAATTGTGAGTTTTCTTGAATTTAAAATTCAAATATTCTCTTAACTGAATTTTACAAGAGCGCATTATTTTTCCACAACCATTCATCTTCTTGCTAGGTTTATAGTTCATTATCCATGATCATGTTTAGTTCGTCCATATAAATCGTATTACTCGGTTTTTTTCTAGGGTATCTTTATAAAAGTATCATCATTACAATTTATGCCATCGTCCTTTTTGTTCTTATCCCACTATCAATCTTTCAAACATCCGATATGTAATTAATGAATTTCTGATTTAACATTTGATAATGAGCTTATCATGTGTTTTTACCGATTTAATATTTCGAGTCAAAATAATTTCAAGAAGATTCGGTATATCTCACTTTATTTTGGAATTGTTTAACTCGATTCCAGATTATTTCTGTCACTTTGCAATTATGGATTATTTATTTTTAGTTACAACATGCTTCTGGTTTTGTTTTTCAGAAACATTGCTTTGTTAGTTGCTTTTTTTTTTGTTTCCATCACCAAATGCACTATAACTATGAATATAAGATTTTGTTCATATTAATATGATTATTTTTGTGGTTGAAAGAGCCACGCAGAGGGACACTGAGAACAAATAGAGCATGGGTGATTTAAGCATACGAGAAAGCAGAAAATTTTGTAAGAACAAGAATGATATTATGAGGATACACTAAATGAAGACATGAAGCTGAAGAAAGAGCACAAGCACTCGCCGTAAGATTGCATGAATATCATTATGTCAAAGAACCAACAATTAGTTTTGTAACCGGTTCTTTGTTATTATAGGTCTTACTATGGTTGTGTATCTCTTATTATGAAAATCGACAAGTGATTTGTTGATAATTTGATTTTAAAAAATTCACAAGGGATTTCTTGATAATTTGGTTTCAGATGATCAGTTGTTTACAAGAGTAAAGTATCTTTCTATCTTTTAAAAGAGAGAACATGAGAATAGAAAAATAAATGAGAAAAATGGAGACAATTCGAATCAAAAGCAACAAAAATCAACATGTATTAACATTAACAATCCTCTAATATCTATTACTTTGCAATGCATCAAATCGAATTCATGTCCGTGCGAATACAGCAGAACGTAAGGTATAGACATTATCCCGGAGTTTTCTCGCAATCCGTAATGCGATCGAAATCTGCTTGAGAGCCATTATTCTTCGAGACTACACATCGAAGAGCTTTCCACCACATCCCTGTTTTGGGAACAAAACCATGATCCACCATTTGCCTCAGAACCCAATCCATTTCCGCAACCGACTTCGTTTCACAGAGCCCTAAAACTAACTTCTTGTACGACAGAAAACTAGGTCTCATACCCCATGAAATCATCTTACTCATCATCTCTTTAGCTTCCAAGTTTCTCTTTTTATCCAAGAGACCATATAGTACCTCCTGATAAGTCCCAGGATTTGGTTCACACCCTTTTAACTTCATTCTCTCCAAAACATTAATCCCTTCTTCAACCCTACCTTTCTTCCTAAGACCCAAAATCAAAATGTTGAACGTGATAGTATCCGGTTCGATTCGTTCCTTCTCCATCCTCTCCAACAATTTGAAAGCTTCATCAAACTTCCCCTTGTTACAGAAACCACGGATTAAAGGTGAAAACGTCATCACATTAGGCCGTGATTTTTGTTTAGGAAATTCGTCGAGCAGTTGGAGTGCAGCGTCTAGGTTCCCACTCTCGCAAAGTCCTTTGATGAGTATATTCAAGCAACACGCATCGATTTCAACACCTAACTTAGGAGCAGACACGAAGATCTTATGAATCTCTTCGAACAGCTTCGCGGAGACAAGTAGATTCAGTACGAAATTGAAGCTTTTGGTGCTTGGCCAACATCCGAAACCCGGCATACAAAACAGAATCTCGATCGCTCGGTTGATTCTTCCGGCTAAATTCCCGTAAATCCTCATTACATTGTAGAAGAACTCCTCCGAAAAACGGCATCTTTTCTCGAGCTTAACGATTCTCATTACCTCTTCGATTTCATCGAACATTTTAGCTTTTCCGAATTTGTTGATCAAAAGTGCATAGAGAGATTCCGAAGGTTGATAATCTTTTCGTTTAGAGTAATGTTCGTAAGCCGGCATCAGAAATCTCGGATCTTTGACATTGTCGAAGATTTTCAAAACTTCGTTCGGAGCTAACCAGTCCTTGTGCCTTAGCCTGACGAGTTTATCGTCGCGCGACGCCGAGTATCTATCG